ATTTTTATAAAGAACATTAACAACAAGTTTTTTTTTTTTTTATAACACAATATCTTGTTCCTAGTTTTTATGTACAAACATAAAATAAGAATAGTCATACATAAAATAAAACGACACAACTACTATAACCTTATCAACAAAGTACGGGCAGTAAAATCAACTCTTCTCTTTCTCATACAGTTCCATAAAACAGTAGAAAAAAAATAACATCAATTTTTATCAACTAAAACTTCAACTTAAAAATGTTTATAAGAAAAAAAATATATTTATTAACATTTAAATTAATGTCTTATTACATTTCAAAAATGTTCAAATGCAAATGTTACCTTGTGCAAAATTCGAATGATGCGATCTACGTAAAAGACTGCTTTGAGAAAAAGTACCTTCAACTGATGATGATGTAGTAGAAACACATAATTTTTCTAGGAAGCGTATTAAAAGATTGATATGAATTTTCTTTTTCGGAAAAGAAGATTACTGATTAAATTTTCTTCCTGAAGAAAACTATTACTGTCTTCTGAAACTGATTTTGATGTTGAATTATCAGCTTTTGCTTTTTTGAATGGATGAGTTAGATCAATAGTATACAAATTTCGAGTTACAGTCATGACCAGATCTTCTAATATGTTATATAAGTTTTCACTTTATATTTATGAACAAACCATTTAAATAAGACCGATCGCGTCTAAAAAATAAATGACTTTTCTTGATTGTTGATATTCTTTAATATTGATATCAAAGCCACGTAACCTCGACTTGATCTTACATATCTTCTTTGTGAATTACATTTCTTTATGTTTTTATTGGAAGATATTTAGTCATAATTCGATGTGATTTCGCTTGTAAAATGAAGCAAGCTATTGTATCAACCTGAAACATTTAATAGTGGCTTTTTTCATAAGTATTATGAACGTCGTCAATTTTTCCTTTGATAATTTTTCAAGATATTATAATCGTACAAAAGCATTGAAAAATATCTCTAATGCTGTCTACATCTTAAGTTTGTATTTCAAAACTCATCTTGCATTTTTCGTTTCACAACTATAAGTGATTAAAATTTGATCATTAATAAAATTATTTGTATTCGAATATCTCTAGCCATTTATTCGATATTAAAAAAATGTCAATTTCAATTAAATGAATGATAAACAAAAGTCAGATATGTTGAGTTAACCAAAGGCTTCCTTTATTTAATATAAACCAATCTAAAATGATTATCAATTAGATTAATTGATAATAAATATATTCTTAGCTTGCATGTTAAAATTGACAAATTTTTCAATCTATTTCTGTAATTTAAATAATCATTCGTCCATTAGAATAATTGAAGCTGTGAACAACTGAATGGAATATATTGTCTACAGAGAAAGATAAATAATTATTAAATCATCACATCGTTTTTAATATAAATCAAACAATCTATTTGATCTTAACAGACACCCTCTACACAGATCTGAGTATTCCTTCAAATGAGAATATTTTTCTAAATGTTCTATTCCATATAGATATTTCGATCAAAACGAAAATTCATCAATAATTGTTTTGTTTTATAAATTGAATATTCTTTCCTATGAACTTCTCAAAGATTGGAATGATTACAGGATAGTAAAGATTGTCGAATGTCAAGAACGTGCTCAAAAAAAAAATGAGTGTTTTCAAATAGTTGTCCTTCTTTTTGTATATCAAACTAATTCTATTTCTGTAGTGACCGAATGTTATTTTAGGAAGTAACTAATAAAGGATGATATAGGGCAAAGAATCTGTTCTAGAATTCCATGTGCTTTTTCATAATACAAAAATGTCTTTGAGGACTCATTCATTTTGGAATGATGCAAATGTCAATGTGGAAAGTGGTCTAATCTTTTTGACGTAAAGACTAGTCATGCTGTACCGTCTTGACGTCGATCTAAAAAAATTTAAATAAAAAAGCTTGTTTGCGCAGCTCCTTTGTGGCTGAAATGTGGACCTCACATGTTCCTTAGCCTAATTATACTAATACAAAATACATAAAATGAAAAATCTCTTGTAGATTATATTAGCTTGGCGCATAAGTTATGCACATTTTTGTTTTTTGGTCCAATAACAAATTTATTTTTCAACAAAGATATTCTCTTTTCGTTATATATGTATTTCTTTCGTTCTTCTGTTTTCTTTTATCTCACTACCATACATTTATTTCTGTTCTCTCAAGGTCAAACAAACATCGATATTGACCTTGATCTTTCCTGCTTACTATGTAATAATATTCCTATTGCGTATTTTATATTTTGTGAGACTCTGATCGTTATATAAATAAACATATCCTCTTCTATTCTATTGTTATCTTGTTTCGAATTAAATGGATGAACAAAAAATTCATATTCGACACTGTATGCTCTATGAGTTCGATCGACCCTCAACAGCAGCCGAAGCAGCAAGAAATATTTGTGATACATATGGGGAGAAAACCATCGACAGTTCCACTTGTCGCCGTTGGTTTTCCAAGTTTCGTTCCGAAGATACCACCTTGACGGATAAACCTCGCTCCGGGCGACCTGTGGACTTTGACGATGAAGCGTTGCAAGCTTTACTCGACGCTGATCCACGTCAAACAACACGCGAATTAGTCGAACAACTCAAATATCACCACTCGACAGTGGAGCGTCACCTTCATGCTCTCGGCAAGGTTCATAAATACGGAAGTTCGTCTCCACATCAATTGTCCATAGACAACTTGGCTCAGGGAGCATCGATTTGTGCTTCACTACTTTCCCGACAGAAGCACACTCCATTTTTAGAACGAATTGTTACTGGAGATGAAAAATGGGTGTGTTATGCCAACGTCTATCGTAGAAGGCAGTGGCTTGATCCTGATCAAAAACCATTGCCGGATGTGAAATCCGACTTGCATCCAAAGAAGATAATGCTGTGCATTTGGTGGGATATGAGCGGTGTCATCTATTTCGAGTTGTTAGATATCAATGAAACGATCACCGCCGATGTCTACTCTCAATAATTACAGCGATTGAATGAAGTTCTACTTCAAAAGTGACCGACTTTGGCGAATCAAAAAGACGTCATCCTTCTTCATGACAACAGTCGACCTCATGTGGCAAAGTTGACTCAGCAAAAAATCGAACAGTTAGGATGGGAAGTTCTTCCACACCCGCCGTGGTCACCAGACCTCTCACCAACCGATTATCATCTGTTCCTATCTCTTCGTAACTATTTGTGCAATAAACACTATGAAGACTTCGATGAGCTAAAATCCGACCTGACTGCCTTTTTCGAATCAAAACCGGCTAGTTTCTACAGACGTGGAATTGAACTATTGCCAGAAAGATGGGCGAATGTTGTTGAAAACAACGGCGATTATATTGCTGATTGATGTTTGTATATCTTTGTTGCAAAATAAATTTACTGTTGAACCAAAAAACAAAAACGTGCAGAACTTATGCGCCAACTGGATAGTTATTTTACAGAATCATTGATCACCAGAGTAAGAATCTGGCTTATTTACTTCTGCATTTAAAACATCCTATTTTTTTATTTGCATTGCTGCTATCTTCTCGTTATTTTTCATTTTCGTATTTCGTTTTTCTACATTTAACATTGTCATTATTAGAAGCGTTGAATTAAATGGTAAATAAGACTGTTGTAAATATCAATTATATCTACAGCATCAGATTTTAATGCACTATTATATATATCGATCTACTCACAAACACTGATATCGATTATTTTTCAAAGTTATCATTTCATCAATTCACGCTTCTTATGTTGATCATATAATAACTGTAGCAAAATAATGCATCACTACTCATCATTGTTGACACCTTCAATACACATTTTTATCTGTGCAAAAATAAAAAAAACTACACTATTTAAAACATTCACACATCTATTCCAGCCATTTGAATTTCGACGAAGACTTTGTAAAATTCTAGAATTTTCTCGAGCAGTCTAAGTGTTGTCGCCAATGCTGCTCAGCGCCTTTTCCCATTGCTAAGGAACTGTGGGAAAGGAGTTTGGTACCGGTTGTTTTCGATTACTAAAGTCTGTAATGGGAAAAAGGTGGAGAGAGCCGCAAAGCTTTAGCTTAAAAAGTACACTCACTATCTTTTTTTTCGAAAACATACGTGAGTTCGACAAAATGAATTAAACTAAGTGAGAGAAAGAATGTCTATTTAATTGGGTTATGTGTAATATAACTTTGTTCGATCATTTGATTCAACATCACTCATCTCAAGATTAGTATTAATAAGTTGTACTAATTCTGAAAGTTGATTTTATCCTTTACGATTGATCAGTTCGATAAAAGACCGTGAACGGTTGTATATAGAATAGGTAACCGTAGGCCTGTGAAGACTTGAATCGACAGATTGATTTGTATCTTAAGTATACATATTTATCTGTTTTCGTTTGATTCATTCTTATCATCCGTCTCAAAGAATTAATAGAACAAATTTCAATCTTTTTTCTTCATAAAATAGAATCCTAAGATTTTATTCAGATTTCTGAATATTGTATAGAAGTTTGTGTTCATTGTATGACAAAATATCTTATTTTATAACTAATCTACAAAAGATTTCATATAAAAATATAGAAGCTGAGAAATGAATGATTTAACTTTTTTCTTCAAATAGTGAGAAAATGGCGTAAATAAGAAATAAAAAAATGTGTCTTGAAATAAGTCATATTTCAATTCTGAGAATATTATTTCAATCAAAAGTATAGAAATAAATTGAGATGGAAAACGGAAAATATAAACAAATCTCAATTATATACATATCATATATTTACTTTTTTTTTTCAAATCATAAACATTTCTCAAATGTACTCACATTTATAAAATTTGATACTGAAGAAAATGTTTAATTAGTTTTAATTTTCTATGTTTCTTTGAAATATATGAAAAAAAAGATTCTTCTCAAAGATTTATTCAAAGGAAATTAATTGAACACAATATTGTCAAACTTTACATTAATGTTATTTTCTGTTGATACTTTCAATATTGATAATTATGTTTGATCTGTTAATTGTAATCTTGTAGAATTATTAGTATAATTCAATTGAAGATGTTTGTTTAGATAAAATACATGAGATAATCTATTAAAATACAAATTTAATAAATCGATAAATTAATATTAATCTATAACAAAAATAAATAATATTTACTTTTTCGTTTTCATTGTTAAATTTTTTAAGATGACGATTATTTTTTGGATATTATTTCTTGTTTTTGATATAGAAATATATAAATCTTTGTGAAGAAAAAGAAAAATTTTTAAATAAAATAAATGAAAAAGAAATAACTGACTGGTTTCAATTAATATTAATGGATTAATTAGAATAATAAGTAGACATGAATCAATTGAAATACTTCCTTTAAGACTCGCATTAGCTCGAAAAATTTCAACTAGAATTTCAAAAAAAGAAAAAACAAAACGAATGAAAATATTCAAAAATAAATAAATCAATTGATTTACAAGCAAGATTTATTCTATAAAGAATTTCAGATATTGTTGAATTAAATTGTGGAATTGATTTAAAATGATCAATTATTATTTGAAAAATTTTATTTGAAATTTGAATTTCTCGAATTAGATTCATTTTTAAATGAATATGCCAACTAATAAATATACAATTAAACTAAATTATATAAATATATTTATTTACTCGTCTAAAATGGCATCATCTGAATAAATACATTTAAAAAAATCAATATCAATTAATGGAATTTTTTGTAACAAATTCAAATATGATCCATCTTAAATAAACAAATAATTGATTATTGTAATTTTTAATAATATTAAATAAAACTACCTGAATTAAAATATAACATTCGAAGATCATTGATCGCAAGTTTATATTTCACATAGAAATGTTCTTCATTTAGTTTTGCCTTTAAAATTCAATCATTATTATTATTACGGTTAACATTTTTGACAATTTTTTTTTCTATCATTTATTTACTTATTAAATAATAAAATTTACCTGAGAAGCAATTTGATTTTCATCTAAACATGATTTTAATATTAATTGACTGAAGTCAATATGAATCAATGAACAATTTCTACAAATTAAAATAAATAAAAACAATCAGAAAAAGAAAACAATTTACTCTTTGTAAAAACCATTTTCTGGAAAAATAATTGAAATTTTCTTTAATTCAATTGTCAAGTCAAACACTTTCTGACAAGAAAGATCAAATTCCATTTCTGCATTTGTACGATGTTTTATTCTAAATAAAAATCCAAACAGAAAAATTCTTATTTTTTTTTTTCTATTAAATAAATAGATAAACTTACTCAGACAATAAAAATGAATTCAAATTTACATTCTGTTCAAAACATTCAGCAATACGATTAAACGTTTCCTATTTATATATATGTATTAAAGATAGGTAAACAAATAGCGAAGATTGATTAGGATACATGTACTTGTATACAATGAAGAGATCATAGCATTGATTTTAGTAAACAGAAAATGAGATTGGATCGGTGCTAAGGATCAAAAACTCATTTACTCGAAAATGATATCGCTTTGCAAATAAGGTTAATATCTCTTATATATTACTCAAAGTTATTCTTAGAAATTTGAATAAATTTTAAAGAAAATTTGATAAAAATTAGCATTATGTTCTTTTGATATATTGTCCATAGGAGTGCTATTATCCACATATGAAATATCCTAGTTTCGTGATAACTAATTGTTTAATGATATCTCACTAATAGGGAATTTGTAAGGAGAACATTCAGTTCTGATTACGAAAATTTTGTTCGATTTTCTCGAATTGAAACGAACAAAAATCGAACTTATGTGAACTTGAATGAATTTGAAAAAACGTTTTTGATCATGATTATCCCTTCCTTATCTATATCCTATATCTTCTACTCACTATTACAGACACAGTATCCAAAGATTTAAAATTAACTTTGATAAATATTTTTTTAATCTTTTCTTTGTTTATATGTCGAATGATTTTCTTGAATTTTTTTACAAAAACAGTTGACAAAATAGTTACCTAGTTCAGTTTGTAGTCCTAATGAAGCATTTTTTAAGCAAAATCTTCTCCAAAACACAATGTACAGAAAATTGAATATATCTCAAAAATTTCGGTAGAATCCTATATGACTGTCTTGTGCTGTAGATCAATCTGATATGATTAACATATAAGAACGTGATATTTCTTGCCCATGACCTTGAATTATTACTACTTAGTAAACATTATTTTGCCAACGATTGCAACTAGATTGTGCCGATTTGTTCAATAAAAGATAATCTCCATTCAATGGTATTCACAAGAACGATGATTTCGAACCTCTTTTTAAATTTCACATTAGTCTCCAATTTGGTCACTTGTGCTTGTAATATAAATCTGACTTCAGATTCATATTTAGCATCAAATTTTCCATTCAATAGGATATTTCAGAAGTACTTAAGAGGGAAGTCCACCAACTATCCCACCACTTTTGAGTCGAGACCATGTGCATTATGTAGATCTAAATAACCTATGAATACCCTGAAAAGAGTTCATGCCCTTAGCTTATGATTACGGAGATACTGGACTTTTACGGTATTTTTTGAATAAATGTCGTAGTGTCCCTCAAGAACATCAAAAACAGTGATTTTCGAATTTCAACTCGAGACTTTCTAAAGAAGCGGTCCTTGACGAAAATAATTTATTATAGAAGTTTCAAATCTTGTGACTTGCGTCTATCCTGAAATAAGAATGTCAAATCTGTTATTTTATATGAGTGATGTAAAAGACACGCTATTACCATAGTTGTATCTTAAGATAGAAACAGCGACAAAATCTGAAACTTCTACAATAAACTATGCTCGTTCAGGCCTGTCTCTATGCAAAGTTTCACGTCGAAATTCGAATATCAATTTTTCTGGTATTCTTTAGAGGGACTACGGCGCTAATTCAAAAAATCTCATAAAAGTTCAACATCTCCGTAACGATAAGTTAAGGGCACGATTTCTTTGCAAGGTATTCATAGTTCATTTTGGTTTATTACATAATGCACATGATCTCGATTCAAAAGCGATTGGACATTTGGTGGACTTTCCTCGTTAGAAGTATTCATAAATGAATCTAAGTGATCGTTTTTTGGATCATGTATATTTTCGACAAGATCTAATTAAAGATCTTGATAGAAGATAATCACATTATATTGTAGCTAAATTTTCAAGGTCTTACTTAAAAGATGTTCTACGAGGTAGAATAAATTCGGAACATAATTGTATAACTTACAGCATCATAAAAGAATCTTATTGGTTGAATATTTAAATGAAAACGGTAATCAGATCTTTTTCTATTTATTGGAAATAATTCAAATTGAATGTACATTAATGGAGAATGACATTTTGAGATTGGTTGAACCAATAAACGAGAATTTGTTATATTATTTTGAATACCATAGAATCGAAAGTATGGAAAAGTTAATTGAAATCTTCATTATTAAAAAAAATGACATAATCATTGAAATTAGAAAAAACATTCAAATCAACTTTACAATAAACTCGATGAAATAGATCGTTTGATAGCATTTATTTTTGCATCATCAACACTAATTTGAGCTAATATTTCACGATTTACTTTATTCATTAATTGAGATGAACAAGCACTAAAAAAATATTTATTATTAAATAAAATTTATTTTAATATTTATTTACGTATTAATTCTTAATGATGATACTAAATTTAAATCAAGTTTATTTATTGTTATATCAATAATTATATTTGATAACTATAAATATAATACAAAACATCAATAATAGATAAAAAATTTTTTAACTTACATCTTCAAAATAAAAACTAAATCCATCATCATGATATGATTCTGATGTTGTTATTGACATTTTTCTATCATCTCAACAAATAATTATATAAAAATCATTCAATTTAATTCAATAAAAGAAATTTCATTCTATTATCAATCAAAAAAAAAAAATAACTCGATTTTATATTTACTCTCTCTTTCTTTGTCTAGAAATAAAAGAAAAACATTTTCCCAATGACAAACATCAAATATTTGTAGGAAGTAAAGGACTAGACAGGTTTAAAAGAATACACTACTGCGAGGATAATGAAAATTCTACAGAAATCTATATATTAAGTCTGTTTAGCGATACATTTTTTTTAGAGAAAAATCAATTTATATTGATCAGAAAAGAAGAACAACCCAAGCAAGAAACAATTAATTGAATCGTTTTAGATAATTGTCAATCATTATAATTATTATTATTATCAATCTCAGTATAGATTATCACAAAAATGATTATTTTAATAAAACTATTTCGAAACTCATTATTAAATTCTTCACAAGAACTTTTTTATTACATTAAAACTAATAGAAATTATTTTGCTTGATTTCGACAAATAAGAGAATATAATTGATCAGATGAATGACTTTTAGCTTTTGAAAGGATAAATATAATTATGTGCAATTATTTATAACAATGAAAATTTCTCGTTAGTACTCATCATTAGAAAAGTATTATGTTTACGATAATCTATCGAGCAGTACGGAAATCAGTCGAATATAAAACTTTATCTAACAAAAATTCAAAAGAGACAGTAATTACTTTCTTATAGTTGAAGATCGTATAAGAAGAGGATCATTGTTGAGAATCATATAAATTTCTTCATAAATATCGTTAATATTATTCTCTGATAATGATTTTTTAGAATTTAACCTTTTAAGTACCATGACTCTGTCTGTGAGAGAAATTTCTATGAGTTTTCATATTTAAGACATTCATAATGCATTATTAATATTTTCATCAAAACTTTTAGAACAATCTTTAAAGTCATTTTCAGTCGATGCCTATACTTCCCCATAGGAATGGTGAAGAAGTATTTTGGCCATTCCCTTAGCGAAGTACGAGTGTGAATCAAATTTGATTGAGAGCTGTCACAAAATCAACCTTTGAAATATCACTAGGAGTCACTTCTAACTTGATTCTAATATAGAAAACCGAAATATTCTTGAAACCGCAAAAGGGTATATCATTTCGTATTCGCGATTTATTGATCATCTATTAGAATATATTAATAAATTATTTTGCTTTTATTGAAATATAATGAAACGATTTGATGATGTATCTTGAGATTAATCTCAATTTTTGATTCAACTAGAAAAAATAAATAGAATATTAAAATGTGTTTTGTTCATTAAAAAAAATTTTTCAATTTAACTATATTAAAACAGGAAATAGAGATCTAATATAACTAATATTTAAATGTGTTAAATCTATGAATTAAATAGATAATGTATGATACATACCATGATTATGTTTATGTTTTTTTCTCCACCACGAATTCCATCGATGATAATTGTTTTTATGAATATGTTCGAATGATGAATCGGCCATTATTTTATTCTGAATCTATTCTCATTAAATATATTATTAATTATGATAAATAAATAAAATTTAACCTCGATTTCAACACTATGACGAATGTATGCCAAATTGAATACATCTAACTTTGATTCAAGAATCTTAAAAAACAAATAATCTTCTCAATTTATCTATAGAAAATTATTATTTAGAATTTTTTAAACATATTTTGTGAGTAAATGCTGCTTTTAGAATAATAAAAATGAATATTATCTCACAGAACAAACTAAAATATAATCATTTAAATAACTTCACATTATGATAGACTTGTTTCAATTATTCAAGAATAATTTTCCAACGAAGAATTTAATTCGATTTTGACTTTTTTAACAATTATTTCAAATAATGATGAAGATGAGTTTTTATTCAATGAAATGAATAATATATATATATTTATTTTATATGAAAAACAGAAATTTAATAAGAAAAAAAAAATACTTTCATGAAAAAAATAAGTAAAATTAAAAAGGTTATTTGTTAAATCAAAAAAAAATAATAAATCTCAAAATTGTTGTTTATCTATTTTCTATAAATAAATCATAGAAATAAAATTAGTTGAAAGATTTTGCTTGAAATTTACATTTCTAAAAGAGTTTTATTTTTAATATGAAGCTGTTCTCAATCATTTATTCTAATTCGAGAAAAAAAAAAGCTGAACATATTATCAAATAAATCTTGAGAATAAAACAATGTTACATAAATCTTTTCTATATTAAATAGTGTTCAAACTGATAAAATTGAATAAATGTCATGTGTCACATGTACTATGACTTATTATAGTCTACTGTGAATTGAATATATTTAACATAGATCTTATCTAATGAAGATTGGATTTAAAGTCGTTTTCTTCGAATGTGTGTGTACGTGATATGTCTAATTAATTTTTAAGAATAATAAAAATATAATTTTTCTTAATTAAACTGAGCTCAAAATAATGTAAATTGCCAAGTCTTTTCTGTTTAGAGTTCAAATAAAATGGATCAGATTCAAAAAAGTGTTCGTCAATAAAAGTAAATTGTCTTCATATTTTTCATTCTATTTTGATTAACTATTTTGGCAATAAAAAATAAATCACTCGAAAAACTAAAGACATCTTTGAGATTGTTATAGTTTTGTTCTAACTGTATGACATTACCTTAAGACGATCTTTTTGTTCTTGAGTCAACATAGTATCGTCAAGTGATTCTTGTAAATGCAATTGACGATATTCACGACATCGTTCTAGAAAAAAGAATAATTATGAATGATTGAAGATAGAATTAAATCGACATATAGACAATTTCTATACCGTAAAGTGTACTATAATTTTGAAATTTTCCAAAGTCAAATACATCCGAAAATTGATTTAAATCAATATGGAGAGCCATTTGTTGAATAACAGCATTTATATTAAATGTAGATCGATCAAAACCATGTTCACCCGATGTTATCATAATGACCATATTAATAACAACATCAACAGGATATAAAACTATTACAAGAAAAAAAACATTAGAAAAGAATAATCAATATTTCTACAGACTATAGTTCATCTCATTATCTTTTGCTTCGGAATTTGTCGTCACTATTTTTGATTTTAAATCATCCTAGATAAAATAAACATAAATGTACCATTGTATTTATTCATTAATAGAAATTATTTTATTCTTCCATATCTTTTTACAAGTTACCAAAGTAGTGAGAAGCTAGTTGTTAATCATATTAACAAAGATTTTAGTGTAGTAGATGGATGAAGAGATAGATTATATAGAAAGAGGATTGGAGTGGAGAGGTATTCCTTCACAATCTTGAGAAATTTTCGTGTTTTCCCAGCGAAACTGAACGAATTTTTTCATTTACTTTGCTTATCGATCCTCATGACAAGGGTCAACTCTCTCAATGTCATGAACTCTACCTTCTCAATAGTCGACCTTGTTCCATCCAATCTTGATGATCTTGAGACACTCCTGGGTACAGTCCACATCTTTGACGATAATACTGTACAGTTATCATGTGCAATCATTACAAAATATTTCAAATAGAAATCCAATCCATTCTATTTTTCCAAAACTGCTAATTATTTTGCATTAGATGTATTCAAGTTGTACTTCCTATACTACAAAAAGTACGCAAATGTCTTTAGTTTCGGAGTGAAATCTGATCATTACCGAAAGAAATAAATATGTGTCTCGAGAGAAAACAATATATCCAGTTGCTGTGCACAAAATATCTGATTTCAATTTAGTCAACAGCATGTAAATAGTGAGAAGATATATTTCGAAAAGAAAAAAAAAGTAGCATAGGTCTCGCGTGTAATGATTGTTTGTATGCATGAACTCGAATTCTGCACAACTAAGAACTTTGTAAGAAATATACAGTGGTTTTGTGTATTGTTTTCAAAAAAGAAAACTTTTACTGATTTAATCGGTTATTGATGATCATCAAAAGTTTACATTGCGTTGAACTCTACTTACCACAACAATATTAAATGGCATGCTAACTCTCGATTCACATCTTGTATTCCAATAGATTGATACTGAGTTAATTTCCTTTAGCTATTACAATAATAGTAACAATATTGAAAGAAGAATTTTCTATTAAACAAACTGTGTAGATGATTGGCATTATTTCTTTTGTTCGATGTCTTGTTCTGATATCGTTTCCTGTCTAAAAAAAAGAATTCTTGTTTTCCTTTAGAAATAAAATCGAAATCTCCTACGGTTAATTTGAGATAATGAAGTGTCACTCCGAATGAAAATGGATGTCCCAGTTTAGTTGTCGATTTTGTTTCGTAACTAATGTGCAGATTTTCAACAACGAGTTCGATATTTTGCATTATTTGTAAGCGCATCCGTTCAAAAAATGTCATTTCCTTCTCATCCAACTTTTTATTCTCTACAATACATTCAATGAAAAGAAAGGAAAAGAGAACACCATAACTGACCTATCATTGCTTTTCTTAGATCGTCGACTTTACGTTGTACTCGTCTCATTTTGTGTGTATGATATTCGGTTAAATCTTGGCCAAATTCTATAAAAAAAAAACAAAAAGAAAAACAAAACATTTCATTTCATTAAATTAAAACACATTCGATGAAAAATTTCTACATGTTTATTGCTACCAAAAACAACTATCAGTAACGGATTCGATTGAATCAAACATGCTGGCATTAACCGATATTCGAGAACGCTCTGAGGACATGCAAAAAAAAATCGAAAACAAAAGAAGGTACATGCGAACACTAGTCATGATTTTAAGGACATTTTTGAAGTTTCAGGATCTTTTTTTTGGAAGTCTGTCTTGCTTTTCTAAACTCATAAAATCACTCAATGATTGCCGACGATGTTCGGAAACCAAAATGTATTTCTGGACTTTCATTCGACTTTTAAATAAAAATTATCAACAATATTGGTTTACCAAATGGACTTTTCTAAATACTTTTACGATGTCAAAATAGATGTTCTAGGAAATCGGATGAACTTTTGATGCTCAGAAGGCAATGTATCTGTCGGAATGATTTTTATGATTGAGAGTCTTTTTGCAAAAGTACGACGGTTTTTAGAAGCAGTTTAATCTCGACACAATTGGATTCTTTTCGACTGTGATTTAAATCAGATTACATTGTTTATTAGTTTCAGTCCGAAGAACGAATTTTGAACTATGAGATGCATATATTTATTAAAAAGTTGAACAATGGATATTCTATTCAGCTTTAGTAAGTCATTACCTATCGCATCTTTTTTTCGGTTTTATTACTTGCATATCTTTGGAACAACTACTTAACAAATTCTTAAGTGTCCTTTGCAATTAAGTGTACTTTTAAATATGTCTCTGCTGGATCTATGCGAAATTCTTTTAAAAAACGAAGACTTTATTTTCACATTACAGTATACGACAACACACTCTGAAGATCGTATATTATTAAGTCTTCACAAAATCTTTCTATAATCTGAAAAATTGATCATGTACTAAATTCGATTCTACCAAAGTTAGGTCACAAAAACTGCATTGATTACATTCTGAACATTTTCCTCGCGAATGTCTTCTTAGCTAAACAACATCTATTTGGATTATTAGGGAAAAAATTTTTAGAAATATAACTTCCACTATATTCGAGTTTGCGAACATGCTTTGAAATTTGTCGGATTCTTTTGTAATCAAAACTTAGTCAATGATCAAGATTAGTGACTTACCATTTTTGGGCACAATCAAAATATAAAGTCCATCGATGTGTACTTTCGTTGAATGAGTATGAAGATTCCTCCATGGAATAGTTAATGCTAATTTCTCTATTAAGAATAAGGAACATTTCATTTTTCCTTCGTAGAATAGAAAACAAACTCACCCAGATAACCAACAGCCACTGTCACAGGAAGATTGAGATCGGCCTGAGCAAATTAAAAAAAAAACAATATAAGATAATTTTTTAATATTTATTTTGAAAAAAATTTGGTTATAGTTCTCAAATTGTATTAGAAAGCTACACACCAATGCTTCGGGTTTCAGACGAAGATTTCCCAAGGTAACATGTCCTGTTGAAAAAGAAACGATAACGTTTAGCAGACAAATAATTATAGACTGACCGTGTCTTAAGTCGAAATTCAATTTTTCATCGTCCAATTGTTCAATATAATTTTTAAGATATCTATTGATAATATAACGGATAATGCTCTTTAATACCATTGCGTTACTTTTTTGTTCTGAAGCGAAATAGTAAATGACAATTCCAATTTTCTTTTGAAATAGTTATAAGTAAATAAATGTGCGATTGGCCAATGTTTCAGTGCACAGAAATTTGAAAAACAAAAGACAATAGATGTACATTATATTGTTCTTTTTCGTTTCTATTTTGTGGAACTCACATATATTTCCGACAAAAATAGTGAGTGTGAGTTTTCAATCGAAGTGTTCCAGATCTCATCTCTCCCTCCACATTACAGACCTTAGCAACTTCTCAAAAAAAGAAAACAATTCTGTTTGAAGTGCAGCAATAAAACAACTGTAGTCTATGAGAGTTTTCAATTTACGTATTTTGTATGAATTTAATGAGTCTAAAGAATTTAGGTAAGTTTCACGTTTCAGTCTCAAAGAGACTGCTCTAATAAGCTTTTTTCTTTGGTACTAGGGTGCAGGTGTTTATGCAGTGTATGTGGAAACGTCATACGAGTCTCACACGTACTTCCACTCTGTTTGAGTCCGCTACTAACTGCGCCTACATCCTACCTCAGTAGATTTTTTCACTTGTACAAGTGTAATTTTATGCACTTTTTTTACTCAGTAATATTGGAAAAAAACATACTCGGCTTTACGTTACTTGGTAGTAACGTCATGATTACCAGACAACCTGTGCAAACATGATTATACTGTACAAACCCAAAAAATATAAGTAAGATGCTTGCTTTCTATGATCAGAATTTTGTCGAAACGAAAAAATATTAAATTTTCGTCCTTATTTGACATGTTTTGTATGTTAGATGTTGTCTATAGGTTAAATTTAAAAAATCATTCTCACATGTGATGTGAAAAAATGCAAATATTCTCATTGCACGCTGCTTATTTACTCAATGCACGCTGTGTAGGCAGAATTTATTGAAGGCATCGATCAAATACGTTCCTTTCAGCTTTTATTGATTCTAGAAGGTGACATGTTTACGCTCTGTTTAATCATGATTCACATGCAACCACTCTTGAGAAGAAAAGAATCATTCTTGTTTCCAATTTAACTGGCTGTTTCGAAACACCAAAATTTCTTTAATAAATTGAGCTGAAAACTATTCACAGTTGGTAAGATTACTGTGCTATACTAACCTGTCTCTAAAATGTGACAACGCTGTTATTTTAATAAAAGACTACATATGGTCAATTTAGGCTGTAGGCCTTTATCTTCTCGTCAGTCACACGTAGACGCAGACGCATACCCACACCGATACCCAAATACTCACGTCTCACCCACGCCCTATACCCACATGCACATGCATACTTCCGTAAAAAACAGAGTCAACGAACGATACAAAACTGATCATCTATAAATTATTGAATAACGTTTTTCAGATAACCGGTGAATAAAAGAAAAAGAGTTGGGTATGAACGTTCATTACTCAACAATGCTTTTTCATTGGATATTATGTTTGATAACCTTATCATTTTTGGCCACAAATGAACGCGTCATTGCCTTGCTTGAATTGTACGTATATCATGACCCAATCACGCATGGATTACTGATTATAGACGTCGGTTTTAGACGTGTATGATATAAAAAAAAGAAATCTAAATCGAAGATACAAATTGTTGATATACAGAAATACAGTACTAGGAAATATTGTCCAAGAATATATTTAAAAAGCTTTATCTGTATATCAACAATTTGCATCTTTGAGTTTTCTTTTCTCTTTATATATGATAAACGTCTGCTTTTATACTACATATGTGTCTATTTAAATTTCTTCCAATGCATAAAGTCTACATTTCGTATGAAAAATACATTGCGCAAGCATTTTCTCCTGATAGATGGATGAGAACATGAGAATTTATTCTCTTTGTTTTTCTCTTATCTTTTCTCATGTTTGAATAGCTATAAAACTGTGTAATCTTTCTATCATAATGATGAAGTTGTTATCATTGGTGTTTCTTTGTGTTTGGCTGCCAATAAAAAAGAAAGAAAACTTAGAAAACTTAAATTTATAACCAATAAAAGTAATGGACGTATGGTTTTGATCAATAAAAGATTACAAATGTCACTCTATATCAAGAAAATATGAATCATTACTATTAATGATGGACGTACAAAAGAATAAAACAAAGATATTTCTAAAAAAATTGCAAGACAAAAAAGGCACAGTCAACAGAACGAAAATTATGTTTATAACATTGTAACTGTTATGGAGTTCATGCGGACCCATAGCTTTATTTTATCCCTGTGAGATCTATTCGTGATTTATGGTGATGTTAGTATACACCAACGAAAAACTAAAGATTCATAGAGTGTGAGTGTGTGAAGGAGGCTGGTTCTAAGGGACTGTAGCGTAAATGAATATATGTGTGTTTGATAGAATGGAGAAAAAAGTGAGTTCTCGTGCAATTCGAACCATGCATCGTCTCCTATTCTTGAAGATGCTCTAAACGAGTGTGATTAGAATGGATATCTAATCTTCATTTATTGCTGGAGTATTCCCTTCTCAACGTTGACAAGGGCCTTCTATAGAACATTACTATATCCAGTCCAAAGTTTGGTTAATTCCGCTTAGAAAAGCACAAAATTGCTGTGGAATGATTCATTCGATGTGTCTTCTAATATGCTGATGATAAATTACTTTTATTAAACTATCATTTTACGAAAATGATTTGATATATTTTATTTGCTATAAATAGTTTATTACAAGCGATTCTAACTTTTTATGTTCGTAAATCAAAAATAACTTTTCGAGCTAATCGCTTGTCGAACAATTCATAAGCTTTGGCTGCATCGGACAAACTCATACGATGAGATACGAAGGTTTTGAATTGATCTTGCTTTTTTGAAAAGAGTCGTAGTGCTTCGGGAAACAAAGCTCGAACTGGACATCGCCCAAATTGCAAACGTACATTCTTGTCATAAACTTGAGGACCACTAAACGGAAAAGCATCTTGATGTGCGCCAACAGAGGCGATAACGCCCCATGGACGAATGAGATCGTAAGCCAATTGCAAAGCATCAGCATGCCCGACCACTTCTAATATAGCATCAGCTCCTCGACCTTCAGTTACATTCTTGATTACACTTACAGGATCATTATTGAGATTGATCGGAATAGCACCATGTTTCTTGGCCTCATCTGTTATCAACGAATCAACATAATCTTTCAAGGTCAACATAAATATAAACAAAGATGCAAGACTTACCGAGACGTTCTTCAACACTGTCTATTGCATACACAATTGGAAAACGATCGCAAGCCGCAGTAATAGCACACAAACCAACAGGCCCACAACCAATGACGCATACGATTAGATTTGGATCTTGACGCTCCTGATCACTAAGCAATGTCCACGCATTCTTTGCCGCAAAATAGCCGGTAGGAAATATGTCAGCCATAAGAAATGCTAGGTCATCAGATATTTCCTTTGGAGCCAAGAACCCAGTAGTATCTTAGAAGAGAACAATTTTCTGAGAACACTGTATAATAACGGCTAGAATTATAGTTTATTCTAATCAAGAAATGTGCATGCAAATCTGAGCTAGTGTGATTTTGAAAATGAAAGATAGAATCCTCGGTAAATTACATATTGTCAATATATTTCTAGTTTGACAGTTTCCAGTTACGTTTTATTAACAAGTTCCATTTATTCGCATAATCATATCTCGAATATCATTCAGATGTGTCTATTTCTTAGATCAAAGGCGTCAATGAATTCAACTACTTTTCATGCTCGAATACGATTTTACTTTAACACTTGAAAAGTTAAAGTTTGATATCAGATAAGACGAATTAACAAAGTTACGTGCTCTTTTTATAGACTTTTAAATCTAGTTAAAATTACTCGAATACTGTAGAATTTCAGTGCCTGACTATCAGGAATCTTTAGCAGGACCCATGGCTACAGATGAACACAAACACGATCGAACAATTTTGGTGAAATATTTTTCGATCGACTTTTCTACAGCCTTCATGCAATAGTATATGTGGCAGTCGTCAAGTGCTTTTACGAGAACTATAGTTTAAACAATCGATTTTTTGTCTAAGTTCATGAGATTATTCTCGGATTAAACAGACAAACCGTATTTCATTCGAAAAAAATTCATACCAGCAAAAGGGATTCGTACATATTCGGCTTGACCGCCATCGAGCGAATGTGTTCCAAATACTTGAGCTTTTTCACATCGCGAAGTAAGTGCCTTTGCACAATAGAAACAGTTGCCGCATGATGTTGAAAATGGTACAATGATTTTGTCACCTTTCTTGAAATTTTTTACATCAAATCCGACATCAATAATTTCTCCGACAAATTCATGACCCTATTCATGTCAAAAATTCATTGATCTGAATTAAAAATAGAAAAATCCTACTGACCATGATGATGTCTGTCTCACTAGGTTCATGTCCTCTGTAGATGTGCAAATCTGAGCCACATAAGGCAGTTACGTGTACTTTAACAATCACATCCATAGAAGTGTTACAAGTTGGAATGGGACGATTTTCGACGGTAATTTTTCGCACACCTTTAAATATGACAGCTTGCATGGTGTTAGAAGACATCTAAAGAAAAATCAATATCTTCGTAGATCTATTTTTGGCTGTACAAAGTTTTAAAGCGCTTATGAGTTTGTAATCTACTTGTGTTTTTTTCGCTTGTATTTAAAAAAAACGGAGTTTAATTTAAAGAACATTAGCTCGTTCGAGGCACTTGTCTGAAATGGTAAATGGGTATTCAATTTGATGGAAGAATTCACCCATTCTAAATCAATAATCCGAATAAGAGAGTCAATATATCTTGATCTATCGAGGCTTGAAGAAAGCGAAAGGGTTTGACGTATGAGATATACTATAATATTATGCAATACAATTAATAATGAGTGCTGAAGTATATATGAATTTATCAATTTAGATGATTACTTTTAAAATTTAAATTCCGTGATCGAAAATTAAAAAAGCAAAAATGTCGACATGTGTGTAATAGTCTGTAATAGTAAGAGACATTTTCGATCTGTAGGTCTTTAAATTTACAAAAAACTATTTTAGACATAATAAGGCTTCTTGATCACGATTGAAACGGTTTTGTCGTGTTTTACATTTTATTTCCGAAGTGATTACGCTGATTGAGCTTTTTCTTTAATTGAGCGTTACGTCTAATTATCAGTGTTTCTGATTTATTTAAATACAAAGATGATGTCCATAAGATGCTTGATATTTGTGGCACGATAGTGATATATTGTGGAAAAAAGAAAACTTGCCGTTTATGTGGAAGAATTAGGAAGTCTTTTTTTCCTATCGCGAATCTTTCAGTTGTTGTTTGAGGAGGTATATGAAGCTGCAATACAAAAGAAGTTCTAGAGAGAACGAAATATCTTCTCACAAGAAGTTACTCAGTAAAAAAAGAAAGTAGATAGTAAAATATAGTTGCTCGAAGTTCCTACTTACAATGATAATTTTGTTCCAATTTAGATTCTACTGAAGAACGACAGGAACCGTTACTCTCAATGAAGAAGGTATTTTTTTTATATGACTTTTACTGTCCTTCTTAACAACAACATGGTATGTCTCTCTCTGTTGAAAGTGATAAGATGATGCTTTTTTTTATCATATCTAATGACAACAAAAAAGACAAAAAGCAACAGCTCATTGAATAAATGGGTACAGCTTTCTAACTCTAATAGAGTTTCGTTTCTGTTCAAAAATGCGTCTCTTGTTTTGAATGTGTATCTGTATTATATATCCTCTAGACAGTTAGTTCTCATTTATTATATAGCCATTGAGCTTCTTTCTTGGGAGGAGACATTTTCTTGAAAGAGAAACTCTGTTAAAGTTCAATAGTAGCGTCTATTGCATTGAATATGACTGTCATATTTTCTAAAGAAAATCATTTGGCATTACATTTAAAATCAAAGTATTCAATCATCTAAAGAAGTATCAGGTTAAAATGTACTCATATTCAAGTTGTTTGATTTTTTAATAATTTACTACTTTCTTGTGTTGCAAAAGATATAATCTATTAATATTTATTTAGAATGCATTCTTCTTAGATTTAATTTGAACTGAGAACTTTAATATAAATCTTAAGCATAAAGGGAAAAAGAGGTTCAAATGAGATTACAATCAATGTTTGTTTGCTACTGCTGCTAATTTGTACGATCAATTTCTAATCTTTAAATCTCAATAATGACTTTGCTCAATTATTCACATCAAGCGAATGTTGTTTTTGATGGTTGAAATATCAAACATATTCTTATCATCGAGAGCAATATTGAGAACTAGAACGGAACGAATCGCAATAGATTCTTGAAAATTTGGTTTTGTTTGCTTTTTTTTGGCCATATTCATTCTTCAGTAGATTCTCATCTGAATCTTCCGCTTTAATGAAAAAGAGAGTAAGATGATGTCGTTCGGGTTATCTCTTTAGGTTCGTTGATCTATTCTGAAATCATTTCCGAGATGCTATAACGATTATTGCCACACATCGATTTGCCAAGTTTGAATTTACTGACAAAACATAGGAGTCGGGCTGACCAACCATAACGATATCGGCTACAAACGAATTCGATTCATCAAAGTCCATCAATAGATCGATGACCAAAGACTAAGTATAAACCACGATTTTTCTGTGATCTTTCTTATTTCTTAGCGAATTGCTAATCAAAAACTGTCTTTATGAAATGGTACTCGAAGAAACGTATACGACATTGTCGTCAATTGTTGCATAGAAGATTTCTTTCTTAGATGGTCCATTATTATGTTGATCATGTTCATAATGTCAACGTAGTTTATTGTAGGGAAATTTCGTAATCAATAAGGCAGTTTAAAGATTAACACATTCAGCCCGATACAGTTTTATTAAAGAATATCTCTAGCAGATTCATTTTTGTGTGCATTCGTTGTCCTTTTCATTCTGTGCTGGCTCGTTGTTTTCTCTTTCTGATTGGTATATCACGTAGACAGTTATATCTATGCATCACATACTGGCTTTTACCAACATGACGTATTGGGCTTTTCCCTGTATGTTATCACATATTCTATATTGGACTTTTTCTAATAATATACTCGTTTACGTCATACTTGGTACTCTCCAACATGCTTATATATGTATGTATTGGTGCCTCTCTTCTTGTAGTCATTCACTATTATATTCACTAGTTCTCTTGCTTGTTCTATTCTTCCCTTTCCTTTTTTCTATGATAAAACTTCCTGTATGACGTTGAGATACGTATATTTTGATTGTTTTAACGAGAAGCATCATGCTATGGAATAAAGGACTCAAAAAATACTGAAGACAGAGCAAGTGACACATTGTGTGTAACCTTCTGCCTCAGTAAAAGGCAAAAGAAAGCGGTTTTCTATACAGTTTCTTCTTAAAATATAGTGTGACCCATCGATGGGTCACATCGGACTGAATGTATTAAGATCCGGCAAGTGATAGACTAGCTGTCCACAAAGAAATACGTCGAGGAATAGTAAAATGCCAATCGAATATTTTTGATGACCTGTTCTTTAACAACCAAAATTAGGCATGCACCCAAATTGTTTGGATGGATTTTTGCCCAAATGAAGAAAAATGCCCTTGTCTACTGAACTACGCGACTCAACATTTTTCCGTCAGTAGAAAATTAAAGTAGACCAATAATACAATAGAATTTCAAAAAATAGATTTCCGCAACGTTGTTAGACTACGTGCTAGAACCAGCAAACAATCCCAAATCCAATCAGTTTGAGTTATTTTTCAGTTTCCTTTCAATCTCTTGTTAAACCAAACGATTCATTGGATCATTCTCCATCCGGGTGTAGTTGTGTGGATGTGACAGTGCAATGTGTGCGTAAGTGTGACGTGTACGTGTGGGGATGTAGTGAGTACTCTATTGTGGAGCGGCAGGCGTTGAATCTGAGTGTTGTATGCAGCACGTGGATATGTCTTTGAGTGGAAGCTCTTGTCATTACTCAAACACATCCCGAGCACATCCAAGCCCCAAAACACACTACTCCGTGGCAACATCCAATCCTACAACCATAGCGAAATCCACATCTACACACATCTTCAACCTTCAATAACTTGTCAGTCTTCATTTGAGAAGAAAGGCTTGTTTGGTAGGGTAGAATTTTTATTGACTAGTGCTATATAAGTCAATGTTTGTCTTACCTATTTTCACTCAACCAACGTAAGATAACCATTTTTTTCTCTTTTTTCATTCTCTTTACATGAGTCAATGAAAAGAAACTGTTTGCAAAATCGACTTTTTGTTATGCAATCTTGATGAAAAAGGATTGCCATGTGTTGAAAGTAACCTCCGCAGAACTGTTACCAAGCAGTTGCCTTGTTCTTCTATTTTCTTTTTTTTTCTCTCCTCGTTTTCCCCACATATAATAAAAAGATCCTGCCTCCTGTAGAATTTTCGGTAAGAACCTGACTTTCAATGTATTTTATTTGACAGAACCGAAAGTAACACCAAATAGGATCATAGATTAAAATGATTTGATTTTGTGATCAATCGATACATTGGAAAGACGATTGTCCATAGGTTTTCAGGTCAATTTATCATTCTCTAATGGTTTTATGAATCTGTTTTCACAAATGAGCTGATCCTATAAGCAAAAGTGTACAACAACTAATGCAGTCAATCTTCATTCACATCCATTCTGAAATATAATGTACTCCTCTGTCTACAGCACAATTTTCGGAAATAGTGCCTAATGTATTGGCGGATCGAGGGCGATTTAGCCGTACCATCTTCGGCAATAGATTTGTCTATTTAATGCTATCGATTTTTCTCGGAACTAGATATTTGTTATGGGACTTTCATGGTGTCTACACCCCCTACTGCATCCATACTCTGTTCAGAAATCTTCAGATTCGTCATTGATCATACGACATCGTTACTAGAGGCTATGCTGTAGAAAACACCAGCCGTCGTAATTCACTTGCTCTCCCTCTCCCAGCCAACAGATTCTTATTTAAATCAAGATGAGTTTGACGGCTAAGAAAGTATTCTCCTTAGCTCTCTGGTTAATGTAATGTTTCATCCAATAAATCACTTTCTCCTTCGATATCCAGTCGAACTCTTGTCGAAAGAGATGATCATTGACAAAATATGTCTTCGTTCTTCTTGTTTTGATTCATTGTTTTACAAGAGGTAAGAGAGAGAGAGAATAAACAGCCATACAAAGTATGAAGTCAAGAGAAAAATGTGGCACTAATTTGCTATACCGAATAACAAGAATATTACTCATAGGTTTCATGTGCTAGTTCATGTTAGCACTCGCTCTAACTTACACTAATGAGTAATATTGTGCCTGTCTAATCTCCTATCATTGAAAACTAGTCGACATAGAACGAATTGACTCCATTGAGTTTGACACATAATTATAGT